GGGGGGGGGGGGGGGAAACGTCTGGCTTTTAAGGAATGAACGGCAGCAGTTTGCAGAATCGAGGGAAACTATGAAAGCAGCTCTCAAGCCCTTTGCAGAGAGAGAGGCGTGCAGTTGCCCAACCAGCAAGGGCAGCGCTGCCCCCCAGTTCGCTGGGCCCCTTTGCCAACCCCCCTTTCCAAGCTGGAACTGAGCCTCCTCCCCAACCGGGTGCTCTCCAGATGTGCTCACCTTCCACGCCCAGGACCTGCAGCTGGCCCACATGTTCCGCAGGACTCCATTTCCCTCCCCCTGCCTCTGTGCAGGACAGCAGAATTACCCCCCCCCCCACCTGAAGGGCACCTGACAGGCTGGGCAAAGCAAGGCCAAGCGCTCCAAGCAGCTTTTCCTCCTCTGAAATGCCTGCCCAAAGAATCGGGCCCACAGATTGGAAGTGGAATAGGGAGGGCAGGAGTCTAGGTCTCTGTCAGGACCCTGTTCCGACCATCCCCTCAGCCTTCTCTTGGCCCTCGCCCTCGGCACGCACTTGGGAACGAGGGCAGTTCAGCCAAGGAAGAGCGGCTTTTGCAAGGCTGTGTCCCGGGAAACATCTCCAAGGAGCGCTCTAGGAACAATGGAAAGTCCACGTGGGCAGGGCAGCTGCCCCCTTCCAGAGCAGCCCTCTCAAGACACGGGGATAAAGCAGTGCCAACAGCTGCCCCCCACTCCAGAAGGAGTAAGGGGTCTATTTTTGCAGGAAAGGCTGGGATCCAAGCAGGCACTTAAGCAGCAACCCATCTGCATCCTCAGATGCACAGAGAAGACCCTGGAACTAAAACCTATTCTCTTTGGACAGCAAGTGCCAAGAAGATCTTGCAAGATGCCTTTGGACTCCTCCGCCCACTCATTTGAGAACCAGGTACTGGAGGGGGGAAGGGGTCTCCATCAAGGAGGAAGCAATTTTCTGTGGCACTTTCCTATCATTTGTAACGGGGTGTTGGATTCTGGCTGGAAGGATCACTGTGACGAGGGTTTAGAGATGTGTCAGAGAAGACAATCACTGGCCTCTGACAAGACCCACAGATCTACAGACCCCCACCCCCTGAAACTCCTGGCTCTGGAGTTCCTCCTCACTGCCGCAGCCAGTGGCTTCTGTGCGTGCAAAACAATGCCCCGAAGGGGGAGGTAGAGAGCAGGTTCCACCTCAGACTTACTCCTCTTCTGGGCCAGGTTGACCCAGAGGGACAGTGGGAACAGCAGTGGAAGAAGAACGCAACCCTGCCCATGCGTCCACTGAAAGCAACTTCTCCAGAGATGCTGCAGCCCTCTTATCTGACACTAACAATGGCAGACTTACCATAGAGAATAGTGATCAGAGACACGGGCATCACCAGAATGCCCACCAACATGTCCGCCACAGCCAAGGACATCAGGAAGTAGTTGGTGGCATTTTGGAGCTTCTTCTCCAAGGAGACAGCCAGGATAACCAAAATGTTCCCACCAATGGTCAAGAGGATGATGACCAGAATCAGGAGGGCTGGCCAGTTCTTCTCCGTGATGGACTTTCGAGAGATGTCTGCCCCCATGGAGGAATTCAGGGGATCAGATGTTGGCAAACTGTGATTCCCAGTCAAGTTGTGACTCAGTGGCCAAGCCATCAAGCTGCTGTGCAGGCTGAAGTCCAGAGTGATGGATACTGTGGTCAGGCCAAGAATCCCTCCCCCGCTGTGGGCACTCATCCTTTGCACACAGGAGCCTTCCTCTCCTCAGGAGCACCTCCAGAGCAACCCCTTTTTCAGAGGGGAGAAGACCGAAGGGGACAATTGGATGGCACGGCACTGGCCCAACAAAGATGCTTGACCTTCCATAGTGGATGAAGGCTTGTGGAAGCCAGAGCGACGTTCTTCCAGGCTGCCGTGAAGGCCGGGTCCCAGAGCTTGGAAAGGGCAACTGGCGAGAAGTGACGTGACCTTGGCAGCAATGTCCAGCATGTCCTCAAGGCCAGCATTCTGCAGAGGAAAGAAAGAGACACCTTCATTTATACAGCCACTGGGGCAAGGCCAGGACTGGAGCACAGATGCGTGGTCTTCCCACCAGCTCTGTTCCCCCAACCCTCAGAAGCCTCACTTCTCTCCTCCTGCAGCTCCAAGTCTGCTAGAAGAACCCCCTGTTGGGTCTCCAAGCCTTGGCTCTGTCTGGCTCATGAACAGTGCCCCACAGAAGAAGAACTAAGCGTTCCAGAGAAGGGTCTCTCCGTCAGCAGAGTTCCCGTCTGGCCCAGGAAAGCTTTGCCACGCAACCTCTGAAGATGCCCCAAAACTTCCTGCGTCTTTCCTGCAGCAGACTGAATGTGGCTCTTGCCCCAGTGGAATTCTCAGCCCGGCCAGTTCCAAGAGACCGAGGAAAGCCAGAAATAAGTCATTGCCCTAAATGGAAACATTTGGGACCTCTGGAAGCATCCTGAGGAGAAGCAGCACAGCCATTAAAGAAGGGGAAATTCCGAGGCACGAGCCTCTCCCAGAATCGCATTTTGGCTAATAAATTTCAGCTGTGAGTCTAATTCCAGAGAGGGGTTGGCAATCCCGCAAGACAAACGAAGGAGCAAAGGCAAGACAACTAGACCCTGGGTGCATCACGCTTTTCCGAACAATAGACGGGTTCCCTTTGCCACCACCGCCCAGAGAAACAAGAGACGTTCCCAGGGCAAAGAGCGTGTAGAAGGGGTTGAACTGGCCGGAGGCTGGACAGGCACAGCAGAGCTCAAACGCCAGCCAGCCCGTGGCTCCAGGGCCTCTGTCCTCAGCGGAGCTCCCTCACTGAGGAGGAGGAGAAAAGCTGTTCTGGATCCCAACCGGAATTGCTTTCGTCCGGGAATCTGCTGGACCTCCTGCTAATGGCTGCAGCCAGAGCTGCTGTGAAGGCAACCGAGAGTGGGCTGTCCTCTTTGGGGTCCGGGCAAGCAAAGTTGCCTCCCTTCCAGGGCCGCTGGTCACCCAAGGCGGTCCTTGCAGCGCATCCACCTGAACGGGGAAGCACGTTCAGTTCTCTCGGCCTGAGAAATGCTACTGTGGTAGGAAGTCTGGAGGAGAAAGGGAGAAGGAAATGCGCTTAAGATGCGGGGGAGGCCGGCTAATCACATCTCCTCCACAAGTCCGTAAGCAAGCGGCAGAGAAAACGGAGACCAACGGGAGAGCTTCTCCTGGAGAGGGGGGAACTGCCGTTCAGTCCACCCAGAAAGCAAGGTGCTTCAGAGAGGCCCCTCCTGGGCCCTGGGGCCAGAACGGCCTTGCGCAAGCTAGCACACTCTGGACACACAAGCCCCTCATCCCCAGCTGGCACAATGGAAGTTGTGGTCCAGCACATCTGGAAGGTGCTGGCTTTGGGAAGGCCGCAGGAGGGGTGGCTGTTCCATTCTCTTTTCGCCCCCCCACCTCATCCCCATTGCCTCCTTGCTTCTATATTTCTCTTGACGGTGGGAGCACCTGCATAACTGCAGCAAGAGCCGGGTCTGGCAGCAAAGGCCAGAGGCTAAATCAGTGTCAGAACGAGGGCAGGAACATTAAACCTTTAACCCCGTGCCTGCTTCCAGCTTGATGGAGCCAAGGGGGCACTGCCACTTGTTCCCAGCAGAGAGGAAGGTAGGAGAGGAACCATCCTTACTGCCAGCCATGCCAGCTAAGCCCAGGGGGACTCTCTGATGCATTCAACACCATGGAGCCAAAGAGGCTGATGAAGGTCTATTAAAACCAGTTACAGAGGCACTAGCAAACCTAGTTGTATTCTTACAATTCCTAGGATTGTTGGAGGAAGAGAGTAAGATAGAGAAAGAGCATTCTCAACAAGGCGATGCCTTTTTCAAGGCAAACAAAAAACCAAAATTAAAGCGGGGTGGGGGCAGGCCCCAGAAGAGGTTTTCATCCTCATAATACAGCAAGCCACAGAGCATCTGGTGCATGTTATACAGGAACCCTCCCCCCCCACACACCCCCATTTGATTCTGAGAATCCTGCAGGGGCTTTCTTTTCAGCATCCCCGTTTGCTCCTGTGCTGTTGAACAGCTCCCAACATTTGGAAGAACAATACAGAAATCAATCACTTTGGGAAGCTTAACCCAAAAATGTATGCATGGAGGCCCGCTCATTTTCATCCTTACCAACCCAACCCCACACTAAGAAAATCCTAAACAGGGGCCCTTTTAAGATCTGACAAAGGGGCAGATCTTCTATGCATGTTTAGTTGGAGACAATACAGGTCCTCCGTGAGCAGGCCGCACAATCGGCTTTTGTCCTCCGACCTTGTCTCCTGGCTTTGGACCGTGTTCTTCCTACCCATGGGAGGAAAGGGCCAAGGTCAGTGTTGGGTGCCATGTTCTTTTCTGACCCTACGGGAATCTCTTCATGGTAGCCTAGGAGGAAATCAGCGCTTACTGGAGAAGGAAAGAAGCAGCTATAATGCTTGGACTTTCCCACTGGCAAACCTTTTTGGTGGTGACTCCATATCTTGGGAATGCTCTTCCAAAAGGAGGCGGCTCAGCCCTGTCTTTTCAAAAGGGCTTTCTTCTGCCTCAGCTGTGTTCTCTGACTGGCTTGCCAGCTCTCTCCTGCTGCTATATTTAGCTTGCCTGAAGGCTTTTATCCATAACTGGATCGTTTTATCTGCATTCTAAAAATGGCTTAATGGATTTAGCTGACTTTTGGAAGTCAGCCTGGGAAAGAAGGACCTCCTCTAAAGGACTCTTCTGTGGACATGCTCGGGGGATGAGCAATGCCCCATCTGCACCCAGAGAAAGTCATGGATCATGGGCCACTTTCAACTTTCCAAGCTGTTTATCCCAACAGCCCCTTTTTCATTCTGCTTTTGATCGTTTGCACCAAGCTTCTTTCGACCATTGGCCCAACCGGGCTAAGTACCATTTGAAAATTGCCTGGATGAGATCCTGCCCCCTCAAATACTTTCAGTCATAATCTCAAGATGCAAAGACTCCTTAGTCACTAGAACAGATGGATACAAGAGCAAGCAAACTCAAATCTCTTAAAGTATACTCATTTCAGGTCAGCATATTCCTGAAATCTTGTTCAGTAATAGGTTGAACATTTAAGATGGGGATGTCCAACGCCACCATCTCACTTGACCTTCACATCTGTGAATGCAAAGCTCTGTTCTTAGCTCATTAAAGCGGGCTGAATTCATTAAATTAAAGGAATAAAAGAATGTAATGATTCTTGTAATAAAAGCATGAATTATGCATCCCTTGCCAACATTAGTTGTGAAGTTTTCGAGCCTCCTTTTCACCCTCTTGACCTTCTCTCCCTTTCCTTAGCTAATATTCATCCTAATGACTTCTAATTCATTTTGACTTGTATTTAATAGAACCCTGGTTATTATGTCAGAATGATCCAGCCTTGATCTTCCTTGACCTGCTGCAGTGCACATATGTGCTGATTTTTAGGAGGAAAGAGTGCCTTTAAAAGGGGGGGGGGCAGTACAAGGCCACTGCATCAAACGTAGCCCCACCCATCCCCCAAAGTCCTGCCTAAAAAGAACTTCCAGAAACTGTTGAGATTTTGGAGTCAGTGTTAGCTCATTCCCCAGGTGCGATGGGTTTCTCACAGCTGAGTCTCAAAGAACTATTGTTATCAGGAAACGCTTCGATCAACTTTTAAAAAATAACTTTGATCCGCAGAGGGAAAAGGTGAGGCGGTATTGTAGTGAATGCAGTTTCCTTCCTTTTTTTTTTTTGGCTGGGAGAACTGGTCTCTGCCCTGGAAATCACCACTGAACCACCACATTTTCATTCCCCTTTTTGGCACAGTTCAGATCTCAGCCTGTCTCTTCCCATCGCAAATACACAAAATAGCCTGTAAACAGAGTTTAATCACTCGCAGTTGACTTCCCCAAAATTAGACAAATCCATGTACATAGGTGCATTTAGGTGTCCCAAAAACCTTGCTCTCCGAGGTGTTCAGCACACCTGGGATGTTTTTGTCTCCAACTGTCCTCACGTAGGAAGCTTCTCCAGCCCAAGCAAAGATGAGTTCTCCAGGCTGGGCCTAGAGCAGGACCTGGTGGCAGTTAAGGCAGCCCATGTTCCACCAAGAAAGATCAGGACTTGCCCAATATATAAGCGAGAAGCTACCTTAAACCAGGATAAGTCTTCAATTTATGCCTTCCATGGCAGCTTCCCTAAACTCAAGCAAATTGGCAAGTGACATCATGGTGCAAATGACATGAATTAGATCATACATGGCAGCAAATTACTTCATTTTCATCATTTGCACCATGATGATCACGTGGCATGTACTGGATACCTACTCTTGTGCCCTCTAGATATGTTGGCTTTCCTCAAGTCTCCTCCTATCTGATCTGACATTCTCAGGAAGAACTAGGAGGAAGAGACTGAGAAATCAGTGCCTTGCCCTCTTCCCACCTCTCTTGGGTCTGCAGGACAGAAGACAAATGACCATCAGGTTCCACCCTTCTGGACCTGGATGGGCTGTGTTTCTTTTTGATCAGATGAAGCCCTTTGCCTTTATCGTTCAGCCTCTGCATGCCTCCGGCTCCAAGAGGAACAGTTTGCAGGCGATGGAAAGAAGTTCTTCTCAACCACCAGGGCACAGCAGGGGAACCTGGTGTGACTGAAGTCCAACCTTCAGTGTGGTCAATGGTGAGGGATGCCAACAGTTGCCATCAAGCAAAGCTTACAGTGCCACCCGTTGCTGCTGCTAGTGGTCTAATCTTG